CAATGAGCTGGAGAGATCTGCGTACTATAGGTATCAATCACTTTTCAACAATGTAGGACTTGTGTGGAGGGAAAATTTGCGTGAGCAAGTGGTACTTGTGTAGCGTATGTATCAAGTCACTAGGGTGTTATCACACTTCTGTATATAGAATATAATTATGTACGGGCAATGTCACATACAGTATGTGATTGAAACGCGCTGAAATTTGAACTGCTTGCATCGCTTGCCAAAAATGTGTTTAATTTAGTAACAGATTACGTCATTGAACAAATATGTTTCCGGCCTAATAGCTGTGGACTTGCTGGCATTGCCAGTTTTAGCTGCCAAGCTAGGTGGAACGGACTAACGCCCTGAGCTTTTCTTTCGACGATTGCTCTGTTGTACGCAGGTGACAGGGTTATGAAGCGAGCTACCCTTGGAACTATCACGGTGTTGAAAATCTCGATTATCGTGTACCTGTCTCTGTTGTGCCCTGTCCCGCGGTAAGCAGAGAAATCTGTTTCCATGCCTTTAGTGTTCCAGAATAATTCCAGGCAGGAAACAAGCCTAGTAACGGTTTCGCCATGTGGTCAACCCACCAATGCTTTGTGCATGCTGGATTTCTCACATTTTGTCAAAAAGAATGAAGCTAACCTTCCGTACCCTGATCAGCTAGTTTTCATGGAGAGAAGAGTGCTCTTGGGACAGTGCTTGACGCTTGGGATATCACCTACTGTATATCTGTAGGGACACCCTGTATATATTTTGCAAGGTATCCTCTGAAAATATCACATACGATAATGTGCAAAATATTCTACAGGTAACACCTATTATAATGAAAAGCACTGAAGTGCAAACCCTCGGCGCATTGTGACGCGCACGCGTGAGTAAACGTACGCATGCGCTGCATCACTAATCGATGGGCTGGGTTTAGTTTTAGCTGTTACTCGTGGTCTCTTGCCAGCTCGCGTAGAGTCTGACGCGGCTACTAGATAGGCGATACACGCCCTGCGTTGCATCTTCTGGTGCCTCCGAGGTACGCAGAGCACGCGGATCGATCAGACCGCGGTAAGCCTTCCCGTCCGTTGCGTATTTTACATATTGGCTTTTTCGCGCTCTAGCTCTGCAACGGAGCATTTTCAGAGAAAACCCCACATATTTTCTGACCTTCGTCGCCCGTTGGGTAGATGGTATCGTTTCTGGGATGAACAGACGTTCGAGGAGTGAGATGTAGACTAACAGACAAGCAAACAGACAGACAGACCGACCCAACTACTGTACCATCGCTGTGCATGCACGCCGAGGGTAATGAAAAGCACTGAAGTGCAACCCCTCGGTGAACTGCGCATGGGCGGTATCGCTAATGGATGGGCTTGGCTACCCGCGGTCTGCCGCTAGTAGCTCGCTGAGAATCTGACACGGGCTAGCTACGGTAGTAGATAGCATGCGGAAGTCGATACACGCCCTTCGCTGTGGCTTATTGTGCCTCCAAGGTACACAGAGCAAGTGGATCAGGTCGAGGTGGAGCCAGCATACCGTACTGCGTTGATCGCGTCTGTACGCGTGCGCACCGCTTAATGATGGGTTGGGCCATGGAACTATGTCCGCGACCGTGCCAGTTTGTCGCTCTCGAACGCAGTCGTTTCAGAAAAATCAGCATTTTATTTTTCTGGCTCGCGTAACACTGAAGCGTTAGGTATCGCTCTTAGGCCACCTCGTAGCCTGTAGTGAGAGAATAGTCGCGGACAGACACACACACACACACACACAGACCAACTACCGTAACCCTCGCTGCGCATGCGCGCGGTTAATAATGCACAACCATGGTAATAGTAGCCTGCAACCAAATGTAACATACAGTAGGTGTGGGTCATAACTGTGTCCTTGCTTTTTATACCATCCCTGTATTCCACCTTGCAGTGTGCCATATGTTTACACAAATTGCTACAACTTTTTTTTGACTAAAGTGAACTTTTTATAGATCTGCCTGAAGACCTTTTACATGCCTTGGAAAACAAACTCTCCAGGCTTGATGAGGTTCTGGAGCAAGAGGTACTTTTTTACATTCAATTTTTGGATGTTCCGTAGGGTATAGTATGTATGGTCTGTCTGTGTTTGTTGGCGCTTATTCTGGCACTACAGGCTATGAGGCGGCCTATGAGCGATACCAACGGCTTCAGAACTACGCGAGCCTGAAAAACAACTGCGTTCGATAGATATGCCTTTGAAACAAGTGAAAAAGCTGTATGCATAGTCACACTTGGCTTACCACAACCGGATCTGCTCGCCCTGTGTACCTTGGAGAGCACAACGAAGGGTGTGCATCGACTCCCGCATGCTATCTATTAGTGTATAGGTAGCCCGTGTGCATGTGAGACTCTCCGCGAACTACTAGAGGGAGAGCACGAGTAACCGTATAGTCATAGCCCAGCCCAGCAATTTGCAGTACTGCGCATGCACAGTGCGCTGAGGGTTGCACTTTAGTGCCTTTCATTAAAATTCTTTTGTCCCAACATAATTATTATCTTGTATTAAGGGCAAGATCCCTATAAACAGTATTTTTACAACAAATTTAAACCGTCTAAGATACCATCTGAGTTTGTTCGGCGACTATATTTTCAATAGCATGGCTAAAACGCTTGCTTGCGATATACATATAGTGAATTTTCTTCGATTTTCCGGTGAAGTCGTGCACTGGTTTTCTCTCCATAGAGAATGTATGGAAGAGAGTATGAATATGCAAATAAGCTTGTAAAACAAAGCCGGAAAAAGCAGAGAAAATTCACCGGACACGCAGCGTCTATCCGCCGTGCTTGCTATCTAAAAAATACACGCTTGCCTTGGTACCGGCACTCCCCCCTCCCCCCAGTGGTCTAAATGCTAAATAAACAATAAACTGAGTCCAATGTTAAAGATAAGTTTGTTCTTGTCTACAATCATAAAGCACAAGTGATTATTAAAGCGGGCAAATTCCATGTGTGCAAGAACAATCTGGCTATTCTGGTAGTTTCCCATAGCACAGGTTTTTGTATCCTTTGGCATTTGCTTGCCAATAATGCATTTGCCTCCACTCAATGGTCAATACGAGTGATTTTCACAGAAGTTTTTATGTAGGTTTGATCCATGCCATGATCAAACCTACTTTGTATGTTTCCCCTGCACAGGCAGATAACCTACATACATATGCTCCATACTATGGAGCATTAGGTTATCTGCCTGTAGTAACACCAACAGCTGAGGGCTGAGTCACTCCCTAATCAACTCCCACTTTGCTTTTCTTATAAGTAGTCCAGTCATTGTTGTAAAACATCATTTTGCCACTGATCACCCCCCATACCATAACACTTGTTGCTGGGGTAAATCTACTCCCTTGTTGGGTGTTTATTATATAGGTTGAAGTTATTGAGAGTCAACACCATAGATTGGTGACTGGAGATCTGAGTAAGTTCTAACTTAAGTTGTATTGGTCTTTCCATAGCATGCTAGTATAATGTATTCACAGCATTCTATTTACCTTCTCACAAACAATATATGTACGTATTTCTCTGCCACATAGCCTGTTCCACGTTCTGCCATGTCAGCTACATTTGCATGGAACAGGGCATGTATGTATTTTTGGCTCCCAACAAGTTGTCAAACTAACACCGTAGAGCACACGCAACGCAATTGTGCACATATGCGTGACTTCTATTAAATGCGCATTCTTCATGAAGGTGTTTAAGAAGCACCCTATTCAACATTTCATACACACATCCAGGCACTTCTATTCACTGCCCGTAACTTTGAAAGTAACTAACTAGAAGCGAAAAACTGAAACATTGTATGAAGATGGAGGTAGGGTGTAGCTACCCAACAGCACAGAATCAATTGTGGGTGTGGATACAGTGTTTATATGGCTCTATCATCAATTGAGTTAAGGCACCTTTTCACCAGATCACGTCACAAATACAATGCTTGCCCTTGCTGACCACTCTACTGCTTTGCGTGTCAGCCTCGCTACAAAGATGAAAAGGTGATCGTTAGTGGAGGCAGCATTACTTTGCATCTAAAAAAGCCGAAACTGTGTATATTGTGTGTACCTCAATCTTGGTGACAGTTTTATGTTGTGTTATACCATATATGGAGTGTATGGAGCGTTTATAGCTCGCCACTGGTTTCTGGTTTCTGCCTTCGCTTCTTCGCACTCGTTTAAATTTTTCACCTACCTGCAAACAGGGTTGCTGTGTGTATGCAGATTTGCACTAAACATGTTATTTACTCTGTAGACTCGGGAACTACAGAATATCAATGAACCCACAGGCAGTCCTGCATAAGGCCTTTGCTGGCTGCATTTGGGATGCAAAAAGGCTGAGGCCCTCAGGTTCATTGAAATCCCGTAGTTCCCTCTAATGGAGTAAATAACAGTTAACCCGCGGCGCGCAGGCACAGCGTGGTTGTCGTGTGTGTCTGTCTGTCTGTCCGCGAGCTATCTCACTTCATGAGCAATCAATCGCTCCACAAACGATACCACGTATTCAGCGTCGGATAAAGGTCAAAATATATGTGGGGTTTTCTCTGCTGAAACTGCTGCGTTCAGGAGTTTAATGCGTGAAAACCAAGTCAACGAACCAATATGCAAATTACCACGGGCTTACCTCGAGATGCGCGCTCTCTAGCACCGAGATGCACTTGCTCTGCGTAACTTGGAGGCACCAGAGGTTGCAATGCGGGGCGTGTATTGACTCTTGCATGTTGTATAGTAGTGTAGCTAGCCCGTTACAGACTCTGGTAGGAGACCACGAGTAGGTAAAATGGCCCCAGCCCATCACAACACATGCGCGTACTGCTGTGCGCATTTCGTGCCTGGTGGAATCTGTTCGCGCATGCACAAGATATTCTAATCCTGTACCAAGCCTATTGTTGAGCTAAAACATGGCAGATGCACAGCGAAAGATGTGCCTCACTTGGTAGCATTATTACCTCATCTGCAGCCTTTCACAGAAGACTGTGTATATATGCGGCCTTCCTCAACTTTGCTTTGACATGGAACCCTTCTCTAGCGAGCATGCCCATCTCCGCCGAGGGTTCGCACTTTAGTGCTTAAATATATTCATGAGTACTTTTGTTGTGACCAAAAGTGCTGTGAGTGCTGTGCTGGTTATGAAAAAAAATTAAGGTACTAGCCCTCAGCGTGAAGAACCCATACACACGCGCAGGTACTGCTAATTGATGGGCTGGGCTGGGCTATGGTACTGCTGTCCCCTGCGAAGAGTCTGACATGGGCTAGTAGATAGCATGCTGGACTCACTATGCTCTCTCTGTTGTAACTTCTTGTTGTACAGACATCAAGCAAATCAGGTTAATTTGAGTGACGTATCTTTAGAACGCAGTCATTGTACAAAAGTCGCCAAATTTCCAACGAAGCCAGTGTAGTTTTAAGCTCGTTAGTGTAACTTTTTTCCTAGCGGGTTGCCCATTGCGGCAGAAAATGTGGTATCAAAGGACACACACACGGATGATCCAGTAACGTTACCCTTGCTGTGCATGTGCCGAGGGTCACACACAAACACGTGCGACTGTGTAACATGTGGTAAGCACTGAGGCTACAGGGGCTTCAGGGAATAATAATTCTAATGAAAAGCAATCAATTGTGAATCCTCGGCCCACACCTACATGAGTAAATTAGCCTGGGAATGAGACAAGTTTAAACATTACATTAGCATTGGAAGATATGCATTTCAATCTGTAGGTCTTCATCAGTTGATCTAGCTGTGGGTAAAAATATTTTATGTTCTTTTGCTTGGTAAAATCCACAGGCCCTCCTGAAACTGAACTTGTCTCGTATAGTTACCCCTCTTCACCTTCACCCTCACCATCACCCACCGATGACCACCACGGAGCTCACCCTCCCACCATCACTGTCACCTCCCCTGCACCTGTTTCATCTACCAAGTCTACTCTCCATGAAATCAGGAGTGAAAGTACAACAAGAGAGGTACGTAATCATAAGTGAGATATGAAGGCAAAGCAAGTTGTAGCGAACAAATCAAAACACCAGTTTTCCATGGAGAAGGAGCTGTTATGGGTGGAATTGAAACATATACACACCAGGCAGTGTACTCTACCACATGAGCTGCCAGGGCAGCTCAGTGGCAGGGCTCAAGTGTACCGTAGAACACAATACAACGCAAAAGCAAACCTCAAATCCTATTGGCTCAAAAGCAATCGAATTGGCTCAAAGATGAAGCTGATTTCCCCCCATTTTTTAGAACTCACCCGAAAAACAGACGCATGGAAAATCGAAACAATTAAGAAGTCCTTTTTCTGAAGCGGAACGGTCGATCATAATGAAGGAGGCACGAAACACACGCAGTCGATGGAGAGAAGTTCTTCACAACCCCCAGTTTCAGGATCAGGTATATTTTAGATATATTTTAATAGCTTATGAACACTGTACTTTATCTCTAGATGTCTCAACTGAGGAGTCACTCTTATTCAGATGGAACAAATTCATGTAGCAGTGGTATATTTACCCTGGCACAAGTGTTAGTTCCCACCTTTTTCCTTGTTTGTCTTAATAGCACATTCTTTAGTGTTTTAAAGTATATAGCGTACTTCCGCCTATTATCGCCACACTTTGGTCGATATGCGTCATTACGCGGATGTTTACTGCCGAACTTGCGTAGTTTTCCTGTAGAACTGAGCCCCCACCCCCTTTGTGATTCTAAGGAGAGTCGTTGCTACTACCATGTAATAGCGTAGCACTACCAGTGTTCGGCGATAATGGCCGCCGGCGCGTATTATCGCCTACGCACTATAATAGTGCTGAAAAAACAGACTGTGGTGATGGGAATATCAGAGCACAATGTTGGAAAAACATTGCATATCTCATGAACATAAAAAATTCAGTGTGACTGACAGCATTGTTCACACACGAACTGTCGTGTAGCCGTGTTGCTGCCCAGGGCACAGTGTGTGTGAGCCCACTCGCCGCAATGATCGCAGTCAACCCAAAACACCCTACTGGTTGCAATAGGTGGCTCCCTTGAGTTGCACAAAAGCATACAGTGTCACTGCCCTAACTCTCTGAACTGCTCTCTCTATATCTCTCTGGAGCACGTACTGGACGTGTACGGCGGCTCTTTGGTTGGTGGAGGTCGATCTCTTGTTCGTCTTCACCTTAAGAACACTGGAGGGGACGCTTACCCTTTCCCTTCCCTCTAACTTTCTTCTTCTCCCCACGCTCCACTTTCTTTCTCTCTCGCTCTTTTTCCTTCTCCATCTTCTTGCGCTCTCTCTCTTCCTTTCGTCGCTGTTTATCTCTGATGCTTCCTTTTCTTTTCTGTCTTTCTCCCTCATCATCTCAACATACTCATTTGATGTGAGCACCCAGACCCCAGTGATATGACGAGAAGGACGTTTGTCTCTTTCATCAGTTTGGGGAGAAAGAAATATGTCGGCCAGATCTTGCGGAATAAGCCCAACTCTAACTAGAGGATTCTCAATCTGTGGTCTGCAACAAGGAGTCATGTTATGCTGATTCTGGGAGGAATTTTAAGAGCCGGCAGACCCAGAAGCTACAGGAGTAGAGGTTAGGCAACCTGACAAGACTTGGGGAGAGCTATGTATACCCATCATCAGCATGAGATGAAAGGGATGAGACGATTGGCGAGGGGTTCACACTTGGTACTTCCTCAGATGTTGATAACGCAGACGTGTTCAGACTATTGTCTGCACCTACAACCGAGCCTGAGGAAACCCTGCACTAGAAAAAGATTCATCTGTTGATGAAGAGTTGCTCTGGTCTATGGCATTAGTGTCGAAAGGATATATGCCACACTTTGCAAATCCAGCCTTGATGTTCGACATGGAAAACGCTTTTTTGAAGGGTGTTTTGACCACACGAGCAAACTCTCGCTTTGACACATCAAAATCCTTCTTTGCGAACGACAAAGCATGGACAGCTTTGCTATAATGTGACTTTAATGACTTGAAAACAGATACATCCAAGGGTTGAAGAGCATGCGTCATGTGGGGGGAAAGACAGAAGAGTATAGTATGATTCTTACGTGCTAAATCGATGACGTCAACAAACAACAGCACTGGACGCTGTGAGCCACAATACTGGAGAAATATTTTCTTCATCCAGACCATAAAAGTTCACTGTCAATCAACCCACTCTCGCTCTTAGCATACACTGCGTCATCAGGACCATCCAACTTGTATGCACCCCCTGGAAAAGATTGTGAGAAGATAATCATTGGTGGCAAGGCAACTCTGGCAGCGGAGGCACCACAGAGGAGAGTGATGTGTTCAGATGTGCCTCTTGACTGAGCGTAGACGTGCACGTGCTTGGTGTTCTTCCGGGCGATCGCCTTCTCACACGACATGCTAAGGGGCAGGAAGGTTTCGTCGCAGTTGAACAGTTGTCTTGGTACATTGACGAGGTCATTCTCCTCAAGTGTGCGCTTGAGAGTCCCGTCAACAACCTCCTTTGTCAATGCATTTGCTCTGCTACGTTCGAGATTATCTGCCGTACGAAGCGTCAGCTCTGGATGTCTCGCACGGAAGTTGCTCCACCAGTGCTTCCCTGGGCCCGTCTCCTCATTAAAACGATCACTATAGGTTAGTTTATGTAGGTACCGTAATATGGCCCATATATCTCTTTTTCACGCACACTACGTTGTCGCCCACAAACGGATAAGTAAGCTCTTAGTTAAAACTTACCTTGTCCGCTCTTGATGGCTCTATAGCCGTTCCCCAGCGTCTACCCAGCTTGAACCGGGTATCAAAAAAGGGCACGTGTCGAGCTCTATCCAATGCGCATGCGTCGGAATGGGTAGCTCCTTTAAATTTCCCGTTACAGCGCGAATGGCGATATTTGGTCCCGCGCGCTTGTGGCGATAAGAGGGGGTTGTACGCTACACACACACACACTAGTCAGATCATAAGTTTGTATGTAGATGTGCAGTGAAAGTATAGGATAAAGTTGTAAGTGATCTCTACCTTTGATGAGAAAGTACATCGTGCAACCCACTCAACCGTATTCAGGCCTCCTGAGTCTCACGGTTTTTAGGTCTGTAATAATGGTGCCCCAACGGATAATAGCTAGTTCTCCGCCTGCGCTTATGGTAAGCAAGGGGCCAATGGTAAGCAAAATCACTGGCGTAGCACATTATACATATATTTTTTTGTTGAAAATTCACAAGTGCGCTTTGTAAGTCTGTTATTCAAAAAAAATTCAAGCACTTTTTGTGACGTGAATGGTAACCTATTCCTGCCTTTGACTCTCAGCCACATTAATTACTCCGACATATATGTTCTCTGTTCCACCACACACAGAGCTATAATTTAGATGTTTGCCTTTGTAAATTTGATCATGCCTTCCAAGTTGCATAGGTAGCTTAAGAGTAACATAGTATTCCCTAGAATGCAGAGTTTGACAGGGTATTGCTAGCCTTGCCTTCATTTTGTAACTTTGTTATTACCTTTTCTTAGTGTTGACCAGCTGAAGCAGCAGAAACAAGAGCAATCGCTACATTCTAACATTAAATCCTTTGTTTCTGTCAATGTAAGAAAATATTATTTGATATAGTTGAGTTACTAATATTGTTCCTTATCATTAAAGGCTGATTTTCTGGTACGGTCTCACAGTGTGATAAAGTCAAAGAGAAAACATATTCGAGGCACTCAACTCATGGATGAAGATATGGTTAACCATATGATTGCGAGTGTGTTTTATGTGCATGCGTAGTGAGAGGGTTACTTTGTGTTTGTCTGTTTCCTAGTACAATATGTTTTCGATCAAGCTATATTATGGCGATAGGTGGTTAAAGAAGTTAATTTATGTAAAGTTTAGTTTAGGTGATTAATTAAACTTTTGTGCGTAAGAAACTGTTGCTATTTTCTACCTTTCTACTAGAGGGTTCATGTGTACAAGAGAGCAGTTGAAGCACTGGTGTATCCTGCTTCTGGTAATGACTGTTTTTCTGCACTTCATATATGTTGGGGACCAATTAAAAACCCGGCCCGTTTTAAAGCCGTCTGTCGGCTTTAATTCCGCCCCGACAGTTTTCAAGCTGCCCCGACGGTAAGCGAGACGTTTTTTAAGCAGATACTCAGGATGGCCATGTCGTTCATTACCGCGTCGTTCATTACCACGCAACGGCTGTTCCAACCAACGGCGAGGACGGTCCGTGCATGCGGGGCCGGCAGCAGTGTCCTACCGTTCCAGCCACCGGCTTTGCGAGCACGGGTCCGTGCATGAATAAAACTGGGCCGGCAGCAGTATCCTAACTGTGCCAGCAGCTGTTGTTCCATCCAGCGGCCTTGCGAGCGCTATCGTCTACTGCGCCCAACGGTGGCAGAGATAACGAGGACGGGCTCTGTGGGTGATCGCGGGAGCTGAGTCACGTACCGCTGTGCACGTGTGCGCGATCGATCTTGTGCACATGGCCGTCAAAGTTTGCGGCCGACTGCTGAGGTAGATCGCAAAATCAGGGCTGGACAGTAGCGACTTGTAGATAGGTTGCTTCTTCCTCACGGCCTTCAATCGAGCTGGACAGTTTAAAGCCATCTGGACGACTTCTAGACGGCTTTAAACTGGTCTGGACTGCGTAAAATCCCTCTGGACGGCTTTAAAACGGGCTTCTGGTTTTTAATCGGTCCCCAACATATATTTATATATATACAGAGTAGTGACTGAACTTGTCCGATGCACACAGACCTATTTTTGGTTGTTGTGATCAGACTGTGATTATAGATACCTCATTCAATGAGCTGTATAGGTCGTATTATTAACCCTCGGCGTGCATGCGCATCTGTGTGTCTGTCTGTCTACGACTATTCTCGCACTACAGGAAACGAGGCGGCTTATGTGCGATACCAACAGCTTTAGCGGTACATGGGCTAGAAAATTAAAATGGGGATTTTGCTGAAACGACTGCGTTCGAGAGCGACAAACTGGCACGGTCGTGGACAGCGTACCCAACCCATCAATAAGCGGTGCGCATGCGTGTATTAGACGTGATTAACACAGTATGCTGGCTCACCTCGACCTGATCCGCTTGCTCTGTGTACCTTGGAGGCACAAGAAGCCACAGCGAAAGGTGTGAATCGACTCCCGCATGCTATCTACTACTGTAGTCAGACTCTCTGCGAGCTACTAGTGGGAGACTGCGAGTAAACGCCAATAGCCCAGCCCATCCATTAGCGGTATCACGCATGCGCAGTTCGCCGAGGGTTTGTGCTTTTCATATTATTTCCGTATTCTTGTCCTACTACGAAGTTTTATAGTCCCGTTTTCATTAGACCCAGATGCTCATCGTTTTGAGAAGTGGACTGCTCATAAACCCACAAACTGCTCTGAATGTAACAGTCTGCTCTGGGGGCTGTCTAAGCAAGGAGTAAAGTGCACTAGTGAGTCTAATTATGTTTGTGCACGACGTGTACTTTCTAAAATATTTTGTTTGCTATAGGCTGTGGTAAAATTTGTCATGAAAGATGTGCCACTATTGCCAGCCAAGAATGCTTCCAAAGTAAGTAGTTAACCCTCGGCGCACATGCAAATGTTACAATATTAATTTTGTATGTGGGTGGGACTATTACCACCTTTTTCTCCCACCAAAACAGTTCATGATCAACACTCTTCATCCTTGGACTTGTACCTTGCTGCGATAAGTGAAAAGATGCATCGAACAGTCATCAATAATACAATCATGTTCAAAACTCTTAGGTTTGTGATTTTGCATGCTAGTATATGAACTAAACAACTCGTGTGTCCCTTTTTTGTTCATGTTGCCTTGGACATGTGAATGTTATGTGTAGGGCATTGTTTATGCAACTGCAAATTTGTTCAGATAACGAGCAGAATGAAATTGGGCACCAACCAATCATGATAACGATATAATTAGCACCAATTGCTTTTCATGATACAAGGGGTAATTATATGTCGGCTTCTACCGTAGTACGGCGTTGCTACGGCGTAGCAAGACCGTAGTTCTTACTACAGTGTGATCGTACTACGGTACGGTAGTGGAAAATTTTTTTTGCCGTGTACTGTACATAAGGTTGAACTCCCACCACACATATATGTGTAATAGCGCTTCATCATTGTCAGCGTTGCTTAACGAGCCTACAAATATGTAGTCATTACGATCACACTGTAGTAAGAACTACGGTCTTGCTACGCCGTAGCAACGCCGTACTACGGTAGAAGCCGTAGACCTGCTACGGCGCAGTACGCCGTAGTTTACTAAGACCCAGATAAAGTCCTGTACCAAGCAGCGTTGCCCCATGCAGCTTTAGCTAGCTGTACGGCCAGGAGATCCACACGGCATTCACACAGTGACAGTGCTGACGGCGAGGCGATCGATGGTCGTTGATACGCGGTTTAGTGGGCGTGGTCGCACGCGCGCATGTCGCGTCAGCGTGCTCAGCGGGCGCAAAGGGAGCGAGAAGCGATAGCAAGCGGCAGTAGCAATGCTAGACACGACTGCGCTACAACGCTAGTGTTCTTAGCTTACGCTCAGCTTTAGAAACAACGCTCGTTGATTGCTAGGCGTTTAACTGCCACCGTTTACTTTACTACGGTGGGCCACACCCTCGCAGCTATGGTGCTCTACGGTCGACCGTAGATTTGCTGTAGAAGTACCTTAGAAAATTTGCGGCATAGTGGGAACTTTTTTGGGGCGTCTACTGTAGGTGCACAATTAGCATTCTTCCAGTCTGCGTAGGTTTCACTACTCTGTTTGCTCCAATGCTTTTGTTCATGTGTGAATAGAATGCTAAATAACCAGAATGCAATAAATTATTTTGCCCTTATGTACCGCCAGATTCCCTTTAAGCCTATGCTGTTGACCATTTCCACTCCCATTGATGAGAGTGGAACTCAATGAGGCATACGTTATGCAAGTGGGACTCATTAGTTATTAATTGGCGAGCGAAGCAAGCCTGCCTAGTCATCAGAATTTTTCCATACATACTGTATATTTGTAATGGCTGACATTGCACATATGCGAGATTCTAAATACGTGTGAAACTATCAAATAGTTAAACTACTCACTTAGCTCGCCAAAATGTGTTGCATTCCTTCTAGTGACGTGTAATACATTAGACATGTAGCATTTGTCCCATTATGGAGATACCTGACCACATTTTAAAAACTTTATGGGTTGAATCCAAGGAACAAGGTATTATTTTGCCATTGTTTTAAATACTTTCATTAGTTCAGGTCCCATACATTTCTATGGGAGCAAAAGAACAAAAGTGAAAAGCACTAAAGTGCAAACCCTTGGTGAACAGTGCATGCGCGGTACCACTAACTGATGGGCTGGGCTTTTAGTATGCGTTTACTCGTGGTCTCCCGCTATAGCTCGGTAGACAGCATGCGGCAGTCAATACACGCCCTTCGTTGTGACTTCTTGTGCCTTCAAGATGCAAAGAGCAAATGGACCCGGTCAAGGTAAGCCTGTGCTAATTTGCATATTGGCTTGTTCACTTGCTTTTGGCGCTATAACTTTGGAACACAGAAGTTATATGAAAATCGCCTTTTATAAAAATGAAGCCAGTGTAGCGATGAACCCGTTACTGTCACTGTTTTGTTGTCTCGTTGCACGTAGTCGCAGAAAACGTGGTAAAAGACAGACAGACGGACAGACACACTTACAAACCAAGTACAATAAACCTCGCTGTGTATGCACGCCGAGTGTCTACATTACATGTTTGTAAACAACAGCAAACGGCATCAGGCAATAAAACTGTGTTTGTGTGTATAACTTTGTTACGGCAGGTCTTATAACATTGTACACTTATGTACCATAAGAAAAGTTCATTGAAACAAAAATTACAAGTTTGTACAACCAACAGCCTTGGGCAACAAATGATGTTTGCGCTTGTAACTTGTTTATGATGGGTCCTCTAATTGGTATACTGATGTTCTATTATAATAGTTCATTAAAACAAACATTACAAGTTTGTAATTGTTCAACCCTAAAACTGGCTAATGGTGGCATTCACGGAGATGCTTGGTACACATGGTGTATTTCACATCCATTGAAATTACGTGTAAACAATGACAAATTGACAATGACTTCACTCCTGAAACTTCAATGCTCAAACTTGCTGACGGTTGCACGTGTGAGGATAAAACTTGGTACACACATGCATTACATTTTCCTTTTTTATTTCGTGTGATTTCAATAGCCTCAGGCACTTTTCTTTAAAATCACTTTATCACGTCTCAAACTTGCTAAGTGTAGCACTTTTCTTGTTCACTCCTCAAAATTTTGATGCATATACACCTGTGTATTTGCAGGATTATAAGTATTAGTTAAAACACACACTCGGTCTTCCTACGTGTATACCAGCCAGATCACGATAATGGGGTGTTTTGAGTAGTTTATGGCCTGTGGTCGAGGTATTTTCATAGCGTTGTTCAGACAGCAGCAGTGCTGAACAATGCTATTGTCTGAGGTGAGTGCACGTATCAGATACATGCACTGTGGTCCAGATAAGTGCAATGTGGTCCAGGTACTGCACTGTTGCTTGTCTGGGGGGGATCTAGCTTGAATAAACAACAACGGGCTATAAGGTACAGATGTTGGGGACCGATTAACAACCAGAAGCCCGTTTTAAAGCCGTCCAGACGGTGTTAAAATGGGCCAGCCGGTTTTAAAGCCGTCCAGACCAGTTTAAAGCCATCTAGAAGCCGTCCTCGATTGAAGGCCGTCAGGAAGAAGCAGCCTATCTACCAGTCGCTACTGTCCAGCCCTGATTTTGCGATCTAACTCAGCAGTTGGCTGTGAACTTTGACACTCTTCCCGCCCAGGGCTAGCTGTCACGGCCATCGATCGCGCACGTGTGCGCGGCAGTACGGACTAGACTCAGCTCCCGTGATCACCTGCCCAGCCCGTCCTCGTTTTCTCTGCCGCCACTAGGTGCAGTAGACGACAACGCTCGCAAGGCCGCTGGCTGGAACAACAGCTGCTGCCACGGTAGGACACTGCTGCCGGCCCAGTTTTATTCATGCACTGACCTGTGCTCCCAAGGCCGGTGGCTGGAACAGCTTCTGGCATGGTAGGACACTGCTGCCGGCCCTGCATGCACAGCCGTTGCGCGGTAATGAACGACATGGTCATCCTGAGCGTCTGCAAACCGTCTGGCTTACCGTCGGGGCGGCTTGAAAACCGTCGGGCCGGAATTAAAGCCGTCTGGCCCGTTTTAAAACGGTCCGGCCTGTTTTAAAGCCGTCAGACGGCTTTAAAGTGGGCCGGGTTTTTAATTGGTCCCCAACACAGATAACGAACGTAAGACATGCAAGACTGATGCTCTTTGCGTGTTATACAATAAGTGTGCGAGAAACAAGCAAAGCTCGCACTCCCGCGAAGTTTACGCACACGTGGGTAAAGTAATCGCTGAATCAGCATTTGTTCACAACGTTATATATTACGGAATCGGTACGTCAATAGTACGTTCAAGTGTGGGAGCTTAATTAGTAAAAAATACTGCAAAAATCTGCCTAACCCATAAGGACCTCGAAATCCACCGTTTGCACATTGTCCATGAACTAAAGGTAATTTTTCTGATAGACTAGGATTGTGCACATTGAAGGGAATGTGGCGGTATTCAAGGACTAAATTTAGAAATGTTACTAAAAATGGAACTCAATTGCATTCTTTCATTGCCCCTATTGGTTGTTTTTTTTAGTAACATTTCTAAATTTAGCCCTTATATACTGCCACATTCCCTTTAAGTTGTAGTTCTTGCTAATGTAATCAGCCTAAATCATTTTTGAAAGAGGTTGTTTTTGTCACGTGGCTCACATGGCTGGGACTCTTGTCAGCAATGATTGAGGATCATTTTCATATGTCACTTGTGTGAATTGCTTACAGTAGGACTGAGAAATTGGACAAAGAATGAGAATGAAAAAGCGACTACTCATTTAGCGCTTGGCACTTTAATTTTTTATAGGTGGCAAAGAGAAATATGTAGAAATGAGTGGAGACCTGCATAGTTTTTGGACGAGGTGCTGAACGTTTGCAGGTGGCCCAATTTTTTTTTTACTCTTACATTTGCTTTCAGGTATGTTTTGCATGCGCATAATAATACACAGAAATGTATACTACCATATAGCGGGAACTTTTTGTAGGATGTAAAAGGCCTCGATGTATGAAAATTTAACCCTATGCCAATGTGGCCTCCATGGAGCCATGAAAAGTTACACAAAGGTTAGAGAATGGGATTCAGTGTTGCTACATACTGCTAGCCTGTGAGAGCAAGAAAACTGAACTGGACCACGTTGAATGGTGCCCTTTCTTCTGTATGTGCATGTTTAACAATAATAATACTCAGGTGGCTACCATAGCACTAGGGCCATAGACCACGCACCCAGAGCAATGGGCGGAACCGTTAATAAACGGACATTAACATGTGCATGTTTAACAACACACTAATTTGTTGTGAACGTGGTACACTATACTTTGTGTGTAGCACATAAGTACCTTTCATATTATTGTTCTTTAGACTGCTTTCCTTAACTACAGGGACGCATTTTTTGTTGTCAGTGAAGATGATAATGACATCATCATTGAAGAAATACGGAGGAAGATTCTTAACTTGGCACAGACATTTTCCGCTGTGGTAAAAGTAAAAGGTTAATAATTTCATGTGAATTCAAATATGTACATAGTGTGAAATCTTTGCACTATGCGTTTTTGTGTCTTTTTTCTGTGACGTACATACGCTAATAATGCAACTACACAACATATTTTGTGGTTCCGTGACACGTTTGCTTACCTAGTCAAATTTATGTAAAAAGAAAGGTTAAGAGGGCACCTGTGTCCAGATTAAGTTGTAGGCTTACTCTGGCACGCCAAAATGCTCTACTCTTGGCAGTAGTGTATGGGGATGGCTGTGGTATCATAGTAGATGTATTAGACTATAATGTCCCGTGTAAAACAAAGCGCGCAAGCTCAGGTATAGGCGCATTATTTCGCGGTGGTTTACTACGCGTTGTCACACGCTATTATGCACGCCGTGGGCGTGTCATTACGCGGTTAAGCGTCAACAAGCGCGGTCGCACCCCTAAGTATTTACACTCTAGAGCGCTGTTCCGCACAAGCATGGGTGTGTCAGTACGCGGTTATGCGCGAACGAGCGTTTGCTGAAAAAACTTCGCGAAATACTGCGAGCGTAGAGTGTACGCCAGCGATTGCGGGTGGAGCACGCGGTCGCGCGTTACTACGCGCGAACGCTAAGTCTGCGTAAATTGGCGTGACTTCCCGCTTGAGTGTGTAAAAGCGCAATATTTCGCAACCGTTGCTGTCTGTGCGCGCTTTTTCACACATTATTTTACACGTGATGCAGTGCGCCGAGGGTTTGTACTTTATTTTCATTCACATAGTCGTGTTATGTGCACATCCAGAGTGTGATCCTCGACATTTCTTATTCCAAACCCCAGTTTTTGGCCTTTTAGCCATGCTAATTTTCACAGTAACACATATATAGCAGTTTTAACTTTGTACACATGTGTAGTATTTAGTGTGTAGGGCTTACAAGGGTCCAGCAGCATTATGTCTATATAATATTTAAGTAATCCCAAGTTTCACTTTTAATTTCAATCAGCTCCCATTTCTAATCCGTATGGTAAAAATACACATTTACCTATGGTTTGGTTTTAGTCGGGTAGTTTTGTGGAGGCTTGTGTGGAGGAATATTTTACGAGCAATTTATATTTGTAGCCATCAATACGACGTCACATGCACTAGGTCATTCCTGTCTTGTCTCCTTGCTTTTTGTACCATCCCTATATTCGCGTAAGAATTTTATATTTACTTGTTGCACCATCCCTTTGACATAGCAGCCAACCTTAATGAAATAGGCTTTATAACTGCCATAGGTTCAGTCTGGTTCAAAAAACCTGCTATGTTTTGATCTTAGGGAACCAGTATTCCCGTATTCCCGTATTCCCTAACATGAAAACATAGGAAGCTTTTTGAACCAGACTGAACCACATATGCTTACAAGCTTACCTATGTACCAACAGTGCCCCGATAACCGTGAGAGCGAAGCTGTCTCAACATATGGAGCATGTATGGATATGAACACATTGTACATTGCATTACTGCTTTAGATGGAAAATTGGAAGGTAGTGTTTGGCTAGTTGGAAGTAGGGTTGATGTTGAGTGATGAATTATTTTCAGTGATTTGGCATGAGGAATTTGTGCCCCCCGCAGTGGAGAAAGGGCCTTTTTGTTAAGAAAGGGGATAAGTGTAACAAGTGTAACAATGGGATTGGTGCAGCAACTGGATAAGGGTCAGGCTTTGCATGAAGATCAGGCAGGCCTCAGGGTACAGGCATCTGCATTGGAGTCTGTTCTGCTGGGTGGGGTCAAGCATATTCTTGGGACGCTCTTCTATGTAGGACTTGTGAGGCAGTTAGGGGGATACATTGCAATATAAGGCTAAGTTAAATTTTTGGTATAAGGTATAAGCTAATGTTTGGTTGTAGGTATCGAAAGAAACTCATTAACTTCTAGCCCCATAGAGGTTCAACAGAGGAAGTCTTGGACTGGTTGATGATTTTGTTTTCTTCATTAGGTTATGTTAAGACAGAGTTCTTGGATGACATTCAAAGGAAAATGTTCATTCGGTGATAGTAACTCTCAGAGGAATGGTAAAAGGTTTGAAGAGGGGTTGAATAGCATGGTCAAGCTTTCGCTGTACAGGACGTTTTGAAAGGTAATTCATTTTAAGAATTACCTGCGTGGGTCCGGTGGCCGCAGGTCTAGTTTAATGTTTAACAACTCATCGGTTACATGAAGAAAGTAGGGGACAAGAGAGTCCCCTTTGTGTGATGCTGAGTCCGAAAGTTATAGTCATGTTTTGTTAGAATGTTCGGCTTATAGAAGTGATTTATGGATCAGCTGCGGGAGCTTTTGGGGGAGAGTTCAAGTCTCTTGATATCTGAGAAAAGCATCTTTTGTGTTATGTACTGCGTTTTTGGTTGACAATTTTTCTTCGCTGCTTGGGGCAAAGCCAGGGGTGTGGTGACGCTCCTGACCACTTGTACTGCCGACTAAAGCTCCTGACCTGCAGTGGTAGCCATGTGTGGTAGAGTAGTTCACCAGTCAGTGGTTTTCGCAGGTTAAAAGTGATGCCTTTTGGTATGAGGCGAATGACTAAGGCTTCGTTTGTTAGGGAGAAGTCACGTATGTTGTGTACTTGGGTATGCAGTGTGAGGCCAAAAGCTCCATTGTGAGAGAGAAACAAATGGTTTTTGACAACACTTTGCTTCCCTAGGCTAAGAGGCATGTGCCTGTGTAGTGTTTTAAACATCCCCGGGGGTTAGTGAGGATGAGCTGAGGGCGTGATGGAGTACTTGATTAACCGTCGGCGCGCATGTTCAGTGAGAGTTATGGTAGTTGTCTTCTGTGTCTGTCAGTCAAGTCTGTTACTCGACATCTCACTTCACGAGCAATGAATCGCTCCACGAACAATACCATGTATTCAGCGTTGGGTGTAGGGCGAACATATGTGGGGGTTTCTCTAAAACTGCTGCGTTCAAGAGTTATGGCGTGAAACACGTGCGAAAAGCCAATATGCTGATTAGAACAGGCTTACCTCAAGCAGGTCCGCTTGCTCTTGTATCTTGAAAGCACAAGAAGTCACAGCGAAGGGCGTTTATCGACTCCCACATGCTATCTACTGCTGTAGCAGCCCAAGTCAGACTCTCGGCGAGCTACTGGCGGGAGACCACCAGAGGAGGTCGGACATACATAGGGATTGCGTCATTGTAAATGAAATTTATGCTGACGCAGCAATTTCTTCCCCATAAACAATGTATGGGGAGATGAAAGAGCGTGCTGTAGCTAAACCAAGCGGGATTCGGAGAAGATTTGCAACTGACTCAGTGTAATATGTAAGAAAGATACGGAAAACCTATTACCTCCAGTGATCCCCTACTAATTAAAATAATTATTGAGGGACAAACATTCCTGTACACTATGCTGCATTGCGTACGTTTGTTAACTAAGAAAGCCTCATTTAAAAAATGTGCCAACTGCATGTGTTTAAGATCCTCTTCCCCCTACAGTGATTGCTGCCCAAGGATTAAATGCAACAAAAGGTAATACAGTGCATTTTTAAGTGTGTGAAGGGTGTCATGGCCACAAGGTCATTCATTACTTCAGCGCTCTTGGAACGTCAATATAATTGCTTGCTCTGTGTACTTTGGAGGTACAACAAGTCAACAGAGGATGTGCAATGCATAGACCAGCCCGTCAATTAGCAGTGCTGTGCATGTGCATAATTTTGGAGGTGAAGTTTTTAGTGCAGGCGCCAATGGTTTGCACTTTAGTGCTTTTCATTTCAAAGGTAAAGGTGTGGTGACACAGTCACACCTGTGTAATACATCTAAATGCATGTTTGTTAAGAGCCTTGCATTTATACCAAATGACCGAATGCATGCAGGAATTGCTACATCTCCATGCTTGCACACAAGAGTTGATTTATATGCATTTGCAATGTCTGGTCCCACTAGGAGCAGTGCTTGTGAATTTAAGGTACATCTACCATATAACAAAACTTTAGCACCAGGTTGTTATGTGCAATTAAGCATATTAGAGTGCATGGAATAATAGGTGTGGCCCATGATTAACCCTCGGCGTGCATGCGCAGCGAGGGTTACGGTAGTTGGGTTTGTCTGTTGGTTTGTTTGTCTGTCCATGCTCCAACTCACTTCTCTATGGTTTATTCGTCCCACAAACGATACGACGTAATAAACGGGTAATAAGAATCAGTTTAATCAAACGGTTTTTCCTGAAACGACTGCGTTCGAGAGCGACAAACTGGCACCGTCGCGGACCGTGTCCCGTGGCCCAACCCATCAATAAGCGGTGCGCATGCGTATATTAGACGCGATCAACGCGGTATGCTGGCTCACCCCGACCTGATCCGCTCGCTCTGTGTGCCTTGGAGGCACAAGAAACCACAGCGAAGGGCGTGTATCGACTCCCGCATGCTATCTACTACCATAGCTAGCCCGTGACAGACTCTCCGTGAGCTACTAGCGGGAGACTGCGAGTCCGTCCATTAGCAGTACCGCCTATGCGCCGAGGGTTTGCACTTCAGTGCTTTTCATTGACAAATGTCTAATGCTCACTACCGAGTCACACTGTATTTTCATAGTTCGTATGCATACTGTATGAGGTGGAGGGAACACAGCTGCACGTATTTTCTAGGAACTGTTCCTTCCCGTAGGACATTGAGTCCCCACTCGCCAGTGTATTTTGCTTTCTGTGCCGAGGGTTTGCACTTTAGTGCTTTTCATTATGTATGTATGTACCAGTGTCAACATTTTTATCTCCCATGGTTTTTGCTCGTTGCTATAATTATTCACAGATAAAAGGGTTTACGTGTCTGTTGCAGTCGGACAGAGTCGGAAAAGAACTAAAACTTTTAAGGGCGATGGAATTCCTTACTGGAATGAAGAATTTTCATTGTAAGATATTTAACTGTTTTTTTAAAAATTCATTTTTAACTGATCTTTTCCAGTGAGTGCTACAACTACCACGAACCAATTCAAATCAGAGTTTGGTGAGAATTTTAGTAAAGTAATGTGTCCTATTGGAAATACGACTACATTTGTGTCTCATGCTCACGAAAAAATACACCAACTGCTGGTGTGTGTTCTAGTGTCAGAAACCGAAGATATGCATTGACCATTTACTCACAAGTAGTCTGACACAGGTTAGGACACTAGTAAATACGTAGATAGCATGTGGATTAAGTTTTTACATGTAACATATGGAATAGGGGCATTTAAATGGGGCAGGAAATGCACAGTTAACTTCTTATAGAAATTGTTAAGCCTATGACACTGAGCATGAAACAAAATTCATTTCGTTTACTAACTTCTGTGCATTTTGTTATCCCTCAAGGAATGAGCGGGATACTGCATTTGCCATGGTGAAACATAAGCTAACAAAAGAGCCGGATGTATTCTTGGGAGAGAAGGTCATTGAGGTTCGTAGAGTTGGGGCACCTAGGGATGTGTGGTACAAACTTGGTAAGTGTGGCATGGTCACTATGCACATTATTTTTTTAGGGGTTATGTGATCGGTCTGTATGTATGTCTGTCTGTCATCGCCAAAAAAATCGCTAAATCTCGAGATATACATAGGTGAATGAGGGAGTTTGACCAGGCAAGCAAGCTATCATTAACGGCAAAAAACTGGCTTCGTTGTGCTTGGAATCAATGGCACTGGTATCCATGGCTAGAAATGGAGCTACGGAGTACTATGCAGGGTATGTGCTCCCCATAGCTGTAGTTGCAAGCCTCAACTTGCTGTGCAAAGAATTTGTTATGCTCCTAATTACTGGGGAGTTTAGTGGCTGGCACTCTGGTTTTCCCTTCACAAGTTTTAAGAACGTTATTTCTCAGCAATTACTTATGCATCTCTATTCTGTTAGTGTGTCAGTAGACACCCTATGCAGGTAAGGCATGGATAGACTCTGATGTGATCCTCATGCAAACACCAATCGTGGTAACTTATCAGCAATCATGGGCCTAGAGTTACTAGTGTACCTAACAGTCTGTGTGTGTGTGTCTGTGTGTCGACGCTTATTCTGGCACTACAGGCTATGGGGCGGCCTATTAGCGATACCAGCGGCTTCAGAACTACGCGAGCCTGAAAATTAAACGGGTGATTTTCCTGAAACGACTGCATTCGAGAGATATGCCGTGAAAACAAGTGAAAAAAGCCAATATGTATAATTGTACTGGGCTTACCGTGACCTGATCTGCTCGCTCTGTGTACCTTGGGGGCTCTGGAAGTCACACGAATGGCATGTATCGACTCCCGCATGCTATCTACTACTGTAGCTGGCCCGTGTCAGACTCTCCGCGAGCTACAAGCGGGAGATGTCACACGAGAATTGGTCCCCCTCAAAAGCGTTCCCCCGGAACTTCCGCGGCAGAAACATTGGCCCCTAAAAAACCCTCAAAACTTGGTGAGAATGACTTGCTGGGCCTTCAAAACACACTAACAATAGTCTACAGGCCCATGTCTTGCTATAGATATGCCCCAAGATGTACTGTGCTGGTTTTCTGTGTCCCTGCGTCCCTAACTCATCACTCTAGCTTTTAATGTGCATCTTTGTCAGGCGGTGGTGAACTTGAATCAGTTGATAGTCAACGCTTTTACAACACACCCATGCGCAAGTCAAAATGTCCATAGTAAGTATATGCAAAGTTGTTGTTATAATAATGGCAATTCTTCAAAATGAAGGGAGATATAGGGCTGGCTCAAAGCATGAAAAGGGAAGAAACAAGGGACCATTACACAGCTCAGACACAAAAAGCTACATGACACCATCTCTATATCTTTGAGGAGTTATAGGGATGATGTCCGGTAGCTTTGTCCCTTGTTTCTTCCCTTTTCATGTTTTGAGCCATCCCTATATTCCTATTCATTGATTTTTCCACTTGTATAAAAACATAAGTGGAGACAAGTATCCTGAAAATTTTAAAAAGGCATATAGGGATGGAAAGGGGGAATTCATAATGGTGGGATACACGAATCGTAGTTAATCCCTATATTGTTGCCTAGGTCCTGTATTAAACACTACCTAAAAGGTCATACTACTGAGTAACCAACACTGGTTTAGATTCCAAATTGAGTTTAAGAGTGGCGCACCAGGCAACAAAATAGGGATTGTGTGTAGCGTGCTCAACTCAGTTCGTTAACTGTGCTTCATGTGTCCCGTCCCTGTCTTGTCTTTTTATACCATCCCTAAATGCCTCTTTTTGGATTGATTTTCAATTTACTTGTGGGAATTATCTTTTGTGATGAATGACATTCGCATAATCCAGTTAAAATATAAGTGCAGTAATTGGGTAATATTTTTGTTTTTTAGAGAGGAGAACAACTGATTCTCAGGTGTCGGGCTCCATTAATGTTAACCTGTCGGCCATTGTAGAAAATGATATTACCATTGCTCCATTCCATGACCAGTATATGAGACTGCATGAGGTTTGTTAAAAATTTTATTATACAATGACATAAGGTTTTCTTGTTGTATATTTCTTTCAGCAAATGTTCGTCCATATGCATCTTACTCAATCATCACCTTTGCTACCTATCTCTCCTGAGGTAAAGCAAATTACATCGTCATATTATATATATATGTGACAGGCTCTGAGAAAACGACCCTTATGACACAAATTCACAAAACATTTTTGTGCGCTAGACCGAAAGTCCTATAAATGCTCTATAGTTTGCCGTTTGTTTCAGGGGCGCAGCCCGTTCCATTGCAAAGTTATGAGCACAAACGCAAGTGCCATTCCACTGCATCTAACGTGAAAAATTGCGTCCAAAGTTGAACTTCCGGTGTCAAATTTCAACCTCCGTATTCTCGTAACAAGTCTGTTCATTTATACGCTGCTAGGTAAACATAGTAAAGGGGAATTCCCGTTTACGTGACTCCGTAAAAGGTTTGTTTATTCCCGTGTTATGTTTCCTTGTAATTCCGCGTAACGATGGTGCGAGTGACGGTAGTTGCCAGATACCCAGGGCCATAACTATGGAACGGAACGGAACGGAGTTAGTGCGTCAAACTTGCGCAGATTATAGACGGTAGACAGAGGTACTAGAATACGGTGGTAAACGGGAATCGGTAAATTACGTAGTTCACCGTAAAGCCGCCGCTACTACAACAATACTACGTGCGTGATAAGGGTCATTTTCTCAGAGCCTATCACATATATATATATATATATATAAATTATATATGTCATATTTCTTTTTTACTATTTAACTATGTATGTGTATTTGTAAAATGATCTTCCATTATTAGAAGTTTTGCTAAGGAAGTCATCGCACTCTTTTTCTTGTGGTTCTATACATAATGGTCTCTCCATGCGTTTTGCCTGCTCCATTTTAGTTGGACCATAAGTGTTTACAGTGCTACTCACTTTGCTTCTAATTATCCATGTCAGGTAGTACGCTTTCTGTGTTTCTCTATGAGTTGTACAAGATGCTGCGACATGGGCCACTAATGCGGAAGCAATTAGCCTAAAATATGGGCCACGGTTCAATAATCAGTCGAAAACTTTAACTTGTCATGTGCCTATGCCCAAAAGTGCTTACTAAGAGCCAGTACCACAGGAGACTTTGAAAGCCAAGCTGTCCCAAGTATATCTGCCGAACTGTCCTGCAATCTTTAAAAACAAAACGTAGAATGGGCATGGCAGCACGAACCACACTTGACCTGTGTTTGAAAACAAGTGTGCAGTAGAAATTATTGCATGAGCAGCCTGTGCCATAGCATTTTCACCTTAACTTGTGTTCTTTTTCACATTCAGCCCAACAAAGAAGATGAGGGGGAAAATTACAAGTTAAAGTTTCTACCCCAAGTTGCTCAAGAAATCATTGATGAGTTTGCCCTCAGATATGCTGTAGAACCAATCTTCAGAATGATGGTGTATGTATGCTAAAAGGGGCATAATTGGGACTTTATCACTACTTTGTTGGAATGTAGATATCCATAACCGGATATGAATTGTCGTATTAATAACCCCAGGCTACACTCTGCTTTACACATCATTTGTGGGTAGTGCAACATAGAAATGATGTAATATGCATGTGTACCATGTTTCATCTCCATGTGCTACCATGGGCATTTGTTTTTGTTAAATAAAGTGGTCGTCATAGAAGCGATATAATACACATGCGTACCATGTTTTATCTGCATGTGTAACAAGTTTGGGCAGTGTAGAAGTAATTTAAAAAAGAATTGCCTATTGTTTTTTTCCAAACATGTGTGGAAATGATATTAATACTAATGCGTACTAAGTTTTGTCTCCATGTGTGCTACCATTAAGAGTGAAAAAAGAAAATAGCATAAGGCTATTTGTTGTGTTATGTATTGTTGTGATTTTGATGTTTGTGATTGAATACATGATGGATACAAAGTTTCGTTCACAGAGCTCTTACCATTTGTGACTTACATGGACACATTTGGTCCCATTAAAATGTATTGTCTGGGGCTATTTGTTGAGGTTTACAGTAAACAACACTGTTTACGAACACCATGACCATGCACATCATCTATGGATATCTACATTCTTACGTAATTTCAAGACTCTGAGTGTTGTTATACTCCCAATTTTCCAAGTAACTCTTAGTCTTTTCAGAACTCCCTAGTAATAAAAGGGTATTTGGGATTCCCCTCTTTACAACATTGATGCCTAGGGCATGAATTAATTTCTGCTACCATTAATCTTACAAACTAGTTCAGGTTCTATTAACATTCGCTGGGTTTGGTTGCACTGCTTTATATTACAAACACTTGGTGGTCGAACAGCTGCATGCTCTTTGGAGTTTACATTTCTACTTACTTAGCCTTCTCTGATAATTATAAGATTATACTAGCCTTTCTGTCAGCTTATGGAAAGTTACCCATACATTGACGCTTATTCAGACCAGAGAGACTGATCGCGATCTCTATGCGGCAAGTCTGTGCATAACAAAACATACTTAGTTTTCTTTACACATGAACAGGCCCTGGGAGAATTTTTAGTGCACATAGTTGGACCTCTGTTCGCGAGAGAGCCTGGAACAAGGCAAATTTCTTGTTTAGCAGTTAGCAATTTAAGTATGACCTCCAATTTTTAGTAGTTGCAAGATTAGTTTGCAGTTGTAATTATGTTTTTTTGCTGCAGGCATTACCAGTTGCTTGTGAAATATCATCACTCACTAAACTCGGCTCTGCTAGTCATGGAGAACCTCTTGCGGAATCTTCGTTACCAGATGTTTACACTAGTAGCTGCAGACAATGCTGTCCGTGCTGTGGGTGCTACTAGGCTTATGGAAGAATACTTTGATTCCAGCAACTTTGGGGTAAATCAAACTGTGAATTGTTCTTTTAAGTCTTTGTTTTTTTTCAGAGGGATAATTTTGCAAGACTGCTGGATAAGTTGTTGTCTTCTTTGCGACTTGACCTGCAACAATACAGGGTAAATAAAGCAGAGAGAACGTGTGAAAAGGGGGTGTAAGCGTAAGGCAAGTGTATATCAAGCAATTGAACAATTGAGTAATCTACTTTGGTGTAGACGAGAGCTGTGTGTATATGTGAGTGTTTTCTTTGCTGTGGGCCATTGCCATTGCTGTATGCTTGCTATTCCATTTTTTAATGCTAGAGGAATGCGACACATTTTTGGGGAGCGAAGTGAGCATTTCAATATTTTGCACGTTTTAGCGCGTATTCATGTATCACGTAAACACTACGGTATGTTGGTCCGTGGGTCCGTAGACCGGGTGGGCTTGCTTCGCTCGCCAATTATACAACGAGAATCAGAGAAGCTGAGGAAGATTCCTGGTCACCTCTTGATGTGAGGTAACAGTGCAAACCCTTGACATAATCCTGAGCAGTACACATGTGATCTTCTGATTTGGAGACGTGTGGTACCAGTGCTGATACACCATTGGCTGTTTGCTCCATGTTCCTGTGTGACTGCATGTGCATTCCTAGCAAAGGAGGCAAACCAACTGCGTAACTACAGTCTTGCTGCTGATAAAGTTGCACAGCTGCAGTAAGCAAAGACAACCCTATGTTTCTTAATTGTCTCACATGGCATATATTGTTCATGAACATTTAATGCTGAAAAGGGCATAAAATTGTATGTGTGTAGCACACGAGCCCCAGCCAAAAAGGTGTGAAGGAAGGTAAAGACTCACACCACCAACACCCCTATGCACATACACAAACACGAACACACACCCACCCAAACACCAATGCATGATACATAGATTAACATAGAACGGACACCTGACGCCTAGCCCTGAGAACTTGAACAGTAGGTTGAAGATCGTTGATAGCATATCAACTCTCCCCACACATCCAGTGACCAGACTCCCATGTTCAGCTACAGCCCCCGATACACATCTTTTAGCGATTACTGAGAAAGATAGACAGTATTATACCATGGACTTAAGATACCCCTGACAAGTGGTCATCACACAGCCAAGACACACAAAGCTACACATGACGCCATTCCTCTATTATTTTTCTATGAATCAGTGGAACAAAGATATAGGGATGGTGTCATGTAGCCTTTTTGTGCTTTAGCTGTGTAATGACCCCTTTGAGCCATCCCTACATATATCCCCTTCATTTTAAACAAACACTTGTGTCCCGTTATGAACAGCTGTGGAAAGCAACGCAGAAACTCAAATTTTTTAGCTATCAACACCGTTTCTAGCAATGCATAACACGGCTCTCGCGAAGTTGCTCCCCAAGAACAAAGCGCAGTTGTACAAAGGTGTAGCTACCAACGCACTGGGGTGAGCACTACCCAGTGTGTTTAGGTGAAATAGAATAGTTCAAGTGATGAAATATCGCTTTAACATCTTAAGATTGGTTGCGTTCTTTTACCTCCAAACTAATCACCTTTCTTTAGGCGGAAAAAGGCCCCAGAAACGGCTTTCTTGGAACCTTGTGGTGAAGGCATTGATCATAGCTCGCCAGCAGAAGGTCATGCCCACCCAGGGCAACTCTTCTTCTTTTCTTTGAAAAGAAGGAGCTGTCCTGGGTTTAGTTGACTTGTTTGCCTTGCCTTGCCTTTCTACCTCGTTACCAAGTTGTTGAGACATGCTTGCTACTTGGAGTTGTCCTTGATGTAGTCGTGTTCTCACCTTCGCTTACAAAATATATACTTGTTTTGTGTTGGGCAACTTTGGTGGTGGTTGTTTACCCATCTGTTACTACATACAGAGTGTTAAGTTTAAGGGTGTGATTTGTCTGTTGTGTTGAACCTCTACCTGCTGAGTTGCCCTGTATATCAGTCGTTAAAGCGCTTGCCTAGACTGCAGAGTGTCATGAGTTGAAATCGTTCCTAACTAACCCTCGGCGCGCATGCGCAGCGAGGGTTACAGTACTTGGTTCATAAGTGTGTCTGTCTGCGATAGTAACGTGTTCGTGCTGCACTGGCTTGACTTTAAAAATATACTGATTGAAAATATAAAATTTAAAAAATACTGCTTTCGAAAGTTATGTCGTGAAAGGCAAGTGAACAAGCCAATCTGCAAATTAGCACAGGCTTACCTCGATCGGGTCTGCTTGCTCCGTGTACCTTGGAGGCACAAGAAGTCACAACGAATGGCATGTATCGACTCGCGAATGCTATCTACCTCAGTAGATAGCCTGTGTCAGACTCTCCACGAGCTTTTGCAGGAGGCCACGAGTAAACACATGCCCAGTCCATCAATTAGCGGTATCGCGCATACGCAGTTCGCCGAGGGTTTGCACTTCAGTGCTTTTCATTTGATTTCCTTTTGTTGTCGTTGATGTGAATGTGCTATTCTTTGGCTTAGACCGTGTTGTTGACACGTGCATGTTTGGAGTTACCCCAGTCTGCTCCTACATTCATTGTAAGAGTGCTCAGCGCTATTGTTTGCTTGTTCTTTTTGGCATTGTAGATTTGAGCCCCAGCTGCTAAGTTGCCGTTGTAGGTCAAGACAGTGGGATCGAATTTCATCTAGGGCAGCCATGTTTCCTTAAAGGTTTTTTGGGTTTAGTTGTTTTGTTTTTGTTTGCCATGCTTCAACTTGGTGCTAATAATTTGTTTTAATCACTAGTAGACCTGTAATTGACTTGCTTTGCCTTGCTACCTCGTTACCTCGTCGTTGACACGTACAACTCCAGAAATGGGGTTTGATCATCATGATGTGTGCTAAGCGTATGTGCTGCTTGTTAAACAAAGACATGCAGATATATCATTTGATCGTGTGCTAATAATTGTGCTGTCACCTTAATGGAGTAAGCATTAATTTTTTCACAAGTGAAGCTAAAACACTCGTTAGTTACAGTGAATTTCTCAGATTTTTCAGACCTAGTTTACAATTCCTCCTCCATACATTCTCTGTGGGAAGTTCAATGCGAAAAGAAATGGGTGTAGCCCCTGCCTACCACAGGTCTTGAAGCTCTAGTCTCGTGCCAAGCTGCCCAACACACAAGTGAAAGCGACGTTTTGGGCGGAAAGGCTTGCCACGAGACTACATAAACACGTAATGCTCAGAACGTTGCCATGCCCATTGGCTTTAACATCTACCATAGGAGCACCATTGCATATATTTACGAGGGACTTCACTCCCCAGTCAAGTCATGTACTCCCACACTCGTATCAATTAATTTACAATGTTCAAAATTGTTTCCAAGTGTGACTTACACATTTTACGCAATAAAGATCACCAAATTTGCTGAGTTCTTTCAATAGACCATTTCTTTCTACTGCAACGAATGAATATTTACCCGTGCGTTTCACTTCCTAAGCACGGGTCGCATGTATGGGAGTGTATTGGTCATTTTTAGACCGCAGTGTAACTGTTTGTTTTTTGCTAGGAGTTTGCTACAGGGGTAACATGCCATATTTACTGCAAGGGGGCCTTAGTGAGGTCCTGATTGCATGAAGATCCCGTCCGTACTGGTGAAAGCAGTCGAGGCATACAAGTACCATGTTCATGCAAACAAGAGGCTGATTATGATACGCTCCTATTTCAGTCTTTGACAAAACCAACCTATCCGCTGTCGCACCAAAGACTGCTAGGTATTGCTCACTTTGCCGGTCCATAGCAGACAAGCGTCAAAATATATGTGCCTCAAACAGTGTTAGTTTAAAATTTCTCTTGATTGCCCGTAAAAAGCAACATGTGCAATTCCACAACTGTCTTTAAAAAATTGAATTTCTGTAGACTCCCATACATTTCGATCGCAAAATGGTGCCGTATCACCTGGAAAACAGTTATGGATGTAATTGAATTATTCAGCCCCTATAACAAATTGTTCGTGATTTATTGTAGCATTACATAATTTATATTTATACCTGTGCAGGAATTATATCCTGCTAATGATCAAATGAAGCTTCAGGACCTTGTGGAAACATGCCAGTTGATGGGATCAGTCTTGGAGTTTCAGCAGCAGGCAATGGGTATCCTTACAACTGGAAAACTAAGTGACATGATAGTTGAGAGCATGAAGGTCAGAACATGTATCTGATTCATCACAAATACTCATAACCACACTACTGACAAATGATGTGTAAACAGAGTGTATTTTTAACCCTCAGAGCGCATGCACTAGAGGGTTAAGGTACTTGGTTTGTAAGTCTGTGTGTCTGTCACCTATGCTTAATCTCATGACTAGGCCTGAGTCTATTATGCTTTTTGGTTTGGCTGTTATTCTTGAGCAATTTCTAAAAATGGTAATCTCTTTGACTTATGATGTACTTATTGACTATGCTTGCCTATAAGTCTCATTTTGCTCCATTATGCTAACACATAATTGTGTTAAAAAGGTGTGACTACACAAATGAACGGCAAAATTTTTCCCGTTCTTACATGCTGATAATGAAGAAACGCTAAATATTTTGCCAGCTGAAAAATGTACCTCCTATACAGTATACGTATCTCCGACTTTAAAGATGTAACCCATGGGTGTGGAAGGTATATGGGGAATGTACCCGAGGTGCTTATCGGCTGAGGGCAGATACGTAAACCTATCCTAGAAAACTTGGACAGTAGTCTCACGAAGCCAGTCCTGCTGGCTGCACAAGACTACTCTGACAGATCGATCGTCACCGGTTCGAAACTGTATGAATCGTGTGTCATACGCGCGACAGCTAAGTGGCAGCATTTGCGCAAGTGAGAATTGGCTAGAGCCTGGAAAAACAACTCACAGGAAACACACCAGCGACAAAACTAGCGTCTGTAACTCCCGAGGTCACTAAGCACCAGTGTTTTTCACGAAGCTCCGCTCTGCGTGAGTGGTATGTGGCCACTGGAATGCATATGTTGGGGACCAATAAAAAAAACCGGCCCGTTTTATAACGGGCCAGACGGCTTTAATTCCGGCCCAACGGTTTTCAAGCCGCCCCGACGGTAAGCCAGACGGTTTTTAAGCAGACGCTCAGGATTACCATGTCGTTCATTACCGCGCAACGGCTGTGCATGCATGCGGGGCCGGCAGCAGTGTCCTACCATGCCAGAAGCTGTTCCAGCCACCGGCCTTGCGAGTGCTGTCGTCTACTGCGCCCAGCGGCGGCAGAGAAAACTAGGACGGGCTGGGCAGGTGATCGCGGGAGCTGAGTCACGTACCGCCGCGCACACGTGCGCGATCGATCTTGCGCGCATGGCCGTGACAGCTAGCCCTGGGCGGGACGAGTGTCAAGGTTCGCGGCCGACTGCTCAGGTAGATGGCAAAATCAGGGCTGGACAGTAGCGACTGGTAGATAGGTTGCTTCTTCCTGACGGCCTTCAATCGAGCTGGACGGTTTTAAAGCCGTCTTTGCGGCTTCTATACGG